GGGGTAGGGAGGGAGGAAACCTAATGGCTAAAAATAAGGATTTGGATAAGGAATCACATACTAGACTTCTGAGAGTAATGGAATTACTTGTAACATATAGTAGAGTCTTGCTGACCTGCAGGCCCCATAACCTGTGGAAAATTATAACCCCAATCTGACTAACCAAGGCTAAAAACTCCCTTGGCCCAACATGTAGGAAAAGCTAATGACACATAAGCCAGTTTTCTAGGACTGACCAGATCTATAGACACAAAACTTGACTTCCAGGACAGCACTCATTGACCCTGCCCACTCTCCCCAGAGTATACTTTTGCTTTGCAAAAATGTTACACCTTGCTTTGCATTAATCTGCTTTTACTTTAGAATCCTCCATGTCTAAAATAAGAACTTTCTGGTCCCTGAACCCAGCCACCTGAATCCAGTAGCATGTTTGGTGAGCTAGCCAGGAGGGTCAAGGAAACTCCTACTCAGAAGCAGATGTCTTTATCTTCCTTCAGTCCTGACAAGACAGTCTCTCTGTTCCTATTTACTTTGTTGTTTCTTTCTTCTCGGCTAGTACATCTTATACTTATTTTCCTACTCTGTTTCCATAGTGGTGAGGGAAGAATGAGGTGGTTATTTTTTGGCACAGGAATCAAATTGGGCAATGCTTGACTTGCTGTGAACATTTTGTTGTTGTGGTGGTGGTGGTGGTGCTTGAACTCAGGGCCCGGGTGCTATCCTGAGCAATTTCATTTAAGGTTAGCTTTGAGCCACAGCTCCACTTCTAATTTTCTGGTGGTTAATTGGAAGAATGTCATGCACTTTCTTGCCCAGCTGACTTTAAACCTCGATCCTCAGATCTCAGCCTCCTGAGTAGCTAGGATTACAGGCATGATCCACCAGGGTCTGAAACATTTGAATATTTTGGCCTGACCATTTATTTGCTGTTACAGGATCTGAGGAGCCTTTAATTACCTTATACAGGCTTGTCTTGTCTATCACCTGATCTCTTGCCAGCATGAAACCCACTTTACTGCACTATCAACCCAAGCCATCAGAAGGAAGCTCTGGACCTCCAAAGTTAGCGCTCAGAAGGAAGCTCTGGACCTCCAAAATTAGCGCTCAAAGTTAGACTTCAGTAGTTATCGCTGGAGCTCCAAACCACTCAGATCTAGATCAAACAGAGGAGGAAGGATGTGGGGCACAAGATGTGAGACAAAGCTACAGACTGGAGAAGAGAAGAAATTTCTTGCTGTGCAAGGAGTCATGCTACCTCCAAATCACTTGGGAACCCACTCTCACAAAGACCTCCTGAAGAAGATTGTTTCAGCTGCAAACGTTCTGGGCATTGGATGACATCCTCGAGGATGACAGCTACTGAAGATGCCCCTATGCAAGCAAAGGGGGCATTGGAAACAAGCCTGTCCTCAGCTCGGAAGGGAGCTAAGATCACATCTTGAAAAGTAACTGCTAGCTATGTCTAACTAAAGTTTCTAAAGGTCCTCTGTGGGCCCCACCAGGATTTTTTGCATCCAAGGGGTGAGACCCTATTATTGGCTGGACAAAGCCAATAAGCTTGCTCCATTCCTTGTTGATCTGGGAAGTGCCTTTTTTGTTCTGTTTTACTTTCTCATCCTGAACCTTATCGCCCAATACCTACACTACTATAAGGACTGCAGGAAGGCCTCAACAGTGACCATTCACTCCTTATCTTCTCTCCTGTATCTAGGAAGACCAAATTGTTAGCCATCAATTTTAATTTGCCTTTGTATTCTAAATTGAAACTACAGGATTAAAAATGTAAAGATTTTAGGCTTTTGGTGTATTTCCTCTCCTTCTGTCTTTTTGCTTGTACTGAAATAGTTTTGTTGTTCTAAAGTTTTGTTATCTTAGTCACCCCTAGCTGGAATGTAACATTTTGTAACTCTTAGCCTCATTTAAGACCAAAATGGGAAAATATGAAGCAGGATTTCTGGGAGGCTGGGTGGGTAGGCCTGAGCTTGGAGCTCAGAATCTTATGCTTGCTTTGTAGGCACTCTACCACTTAAGTCAGTTATTCTCAAACAAAAGTATAACTTTATGCCTAGACTAACCTGTACTATAATTCTTCCATTTTGCTTCCCTTTGTCTCTTGAATAACAAATGTGAACCACTAAGTCCAATCATTAAGAGTTCCCACAAAATTTTTATGCCCAAGGGAGGGGCCTCAAACTACGATGCCCCATCTCCACTTCCCAAGTAGCTAAAATTATAGATTTGAGCCACTACACCAAATGGTATAAGAAGTTCTTGAAAGGTCTAGTGGCCACACCTGTAATCTGGCTGCTTGATAATGATCAGGAGGTTTACAATTTGAAGCTAATCAAAAAGTGGACAAAAAGTAAGACGTCTATCTCAACTAAAAAAAAACCTGGTGTGGTGGTGTGTGCCCTTCATTATAACTAGATGGGAGGCCTGAGTAAGATCACAGACCAGGCAGGCAAGGGCATCAAGACTCTTCCTGAGTAATAACTTAAACAAAAGAGGCTGTCAACCAGAGGTGTGGCTCAAGTGGTAGAGCAACAACAACAACAACAACAAAAAAAAAAAAACAGCAGGAAATGGGGACTAGCAGCCTGGCTCATTGGTATAGTGCCTTTCCTAATAAGCTCAAATCCTGAGTTCAAACCAAAGTACCAAAACAAAGTAAGTACTTTCACCTGCTTTCACATAGAAACAAGGAGACTGCCTTTCTTCCTTTATACACCTCATCCCAATGATGGTATCTACTTTCCTGGTCACCTTGAGCCTCACCTTGATCATAGTCATCTTCACCTACCAACCTTCCTTCATCCTAAATATCTTTTTAACCTCAGTTGATCTCACCCAGTAGCTAAACTAGAAACAAACAAAAGGTCTGACTTTGGATACGTCATGACATTTCCCACTGTAGATTTCCTCCCATCTGAATTATCCTATCTTAATTCAGCCTTTCATCCTATCCTGATGGAACCACCTTCCCAGCCTCTTTCCTAACTCTTACCTTTGCCTCTACATAACCATAATGGTCATCTTCCTAAAAATTGGCACCTGGCTCTTTGGCTGAAATAACTGTCACCTATACAGTGATTCTCAGGACCCAGAATCCTTTAAGCTAGTTATGATAGCACTACTTAAAATGTGGCGTGACAGTGCTTTTATCTATAGCAAATTCACAAACAATTGTGGATGTTAACATGAATTTTTAACATTAACTTTATGTATTTTAACGGAGACCAAATGTCCATAAAAAAAGGGGGGGGGGGGTGTCATGCCCTAAACAGAGGCTGCTCTCCACACCTGCCTCTCTCCAGTCTCAGAACGACTGTAAATAACTCTGGTTCTTCTTTTCCCAAACTTCTGAGATACCTTCCCTTGTACGGAGCACCACGACAAGAATCTGGCCTTTTACTCTCTACCCCAATGCATTTAAGACCGCCTTCATTCCTTTCCTATTAGCCCTTAACGAGCAAATATACTTCTTGGCTCCGACTCTCAAAACGTGTGTGTGACAGGACACAGTCAGAAGACGGCCAGCCACGCCCAGGGTCCTCTGCTCGTCCATAGTCTTCTCCACTTAACACACAAAAAGAAATATCAACATGCTTTACATTTTTTTTGGAGAACCCTCGAGCCTCTCCACTCCTGCCTCTCTCCATGCTGCCGCTAGATGGCAGGAGACTCAAGGACGCCGGAAACTGCTAGCCAGGGAAGTCGACCGCAAGGATCCAATGACGTCACCCATCCTTGGCGACGATTGGCCATTCCAGGGTAGGTCTACCCTGGGAGGGCGGAGCCAATGGCAAAACCGGAAGCGTCGGGTACGGCGAGAGTACTGTCCCGAGGTTGGGCGTGCGCACTCAGGAAAGAGGGCAGGTGCAGTTCCTTCTGCCGCCGGGAGGAGGCAGACCCGGCTCCTACGGGGTGGAGCGGCAGAAGCTGCTGGGAGAAGTCACAAGGAGCAGGGCCGAGCCACGCCGAGGGGGAGGAGTCACCTTGAGAGGAGGGGTCACAATGACTGGCGGAGTCACGCCGAGAGGTCCTGACGCGTGGGAGGGCCACGGGGAGGCGTGGGCGCGGCCCTGGAGGGCTCTGGTGGCACGGGGGGTGGCAGTGTCATCCTAGGGGAAGGCCCCGTGGAGGGGAGGGGTCCGGGCGAAGCAGCCTTTGAGGGGGCGGGACTGTGGCGGGGGGTGGGCCCGCGCGGAAGGAGGCGCTTCCCTGCAGGTGGAGGCTTCTTTCCGAAGAGAGGGTCATTTGGACAAAGAAGAGAGGAGGTCCAGGTCGGGTGGCCCGGGGGAGGGTGCCCTGGAATCCGAACTTTATTCCGGGGAAGTGGGATGGAGAGAAGAGGCGTCGGGACCGAGCCCGGGATGGGCCAGCCCCGATCGGGGTAGCCCCGGCCCGGCGAAGGTAGAAGGTGTAAGCGAGCCCGGACAGTTAGGGCAGCGGAGTGGGAGAGAGAGCCGGGAAATGGGGAGTCGGGGCCGGAGCTCAGGAGGGGACGGTGGACGAGTTGCCGGGCTGCCTGCGGTCGTGGCCGGGCCTGCGGGGGCTAGACTTGTGCCTGGCTGGTCCGTGGAGCCCAGGAATCGGGCCGCTCGCTGAGCCCAGCCCTCAACGGACAGTGACACGAGGGAGGGGAGGAAAGAATCCCGGGACAGCGCAGAGACGTTCGAGCTTCGCGAACGCCCAGCTAGCGCCTAATTCTCTTCGGTTATTCGAGCCCAGCCTGACGCCTTTTGACCCCCGACGTCCCGGACCCGCTCGTCGGGAGTTTGGCGGCCCGCGCCCGCGGCGCGTACCTGGGGGGCGTGGCCGCCGCGTGAGGCCCCGGCGCGAAGGAGTTAAGCGGAGGCCAGGCCCGGCCCCGCCCCTGGCAGGCCGCGGAGCCTGAGCCCCAGCGGCGAAGCGGAGCCGCCGCCGCCGCCCGCCCGCCCGCCTCCGCCTGCGGGGAGCCCGCCCGCCGGCGCCCGGCAGCGCCGCCGCCGACCCCGCCGCCTCCCGGCCCAGGCCCTGCGCGGAGCGGCGTCCACCCGGGCCCTGCTGAGCGGCGCGGCGGGGGCGGGCCCAGGATCTCCGGCCGGTCTTCCATTCGTCGGGCGGGAGCCGGAGCTCCGGATCGGGCTCGGCCCGTACCCATGGCGAGCGCGGCCTGCCCGGGTCCCGGGGACCCTGCCATGTAAAGCAGGCCCAGGCTGGGGGCCCGGCCATGGCCGGGGAACGGCCCCCGCTGCGGGGCCCCGGGCCTGGAGAGGCGCCCGGGGAGGGGCCGGGGGGCTCCGGCGCAGGCCCCGGCCGGGGCCGCCCCTCCTCCTACCGAGCCCTCCGCAGCGCCGTGTCCAGCCTGGCGCGCGTGGACGATTTCCACTGTGCGGAGAAGATCGGGGCCGGCTTCTTCTCGGAGGTCTACAAGGTAGGACCGGTTGGGAGGGCAGAGGGGCGGGACCGAGCTGCTATAGGCTTGAACTTGGGGGCCCACGGCCCGGGGTAGAGAGCCCAGACTTGGGAGACCCCCCCCCCCGACCTGCGGGCACCCGCCGGCCTTTACCGCCCGCAGGTCCGGCACAGACAGTCAGGGCAGGTCATGGTGCTGAAGATGAACAAGCTCCCCAGTAACCGCGGCAACACGCTAAGGGAGGTGCAGCTGATGAACCGGCTCCGGCACCCTAACATCCTAAGGTGAGCAGCCGGCCTCTTGCTGGGCAGCTTGCTGGATGGGAGGGAAAAGGAAAGATCCCGCGGGAAAAGCCTACCCTCCTTCTCCGCCCATCCTCTTCCAGGTTCATGGGGGTCTGTGTGCACCAGGGGCAGCTGCACGCTCTAACAGAGGTAAGGACAGGTCAGGAGGGGGAACCCACAGCCACGGAGGAGGGGGGGGGGGGCGGGAGACCGTGAGTCTGTGGGTCCTCAAAGGAAGAAGCAGCCCAGGACCACCTCCAACGGCAGGCTACCTGAACTGCCCTTGGGGCAGCCGATCTGAGAGGCCTCAGTATCTCATTCATTCCCTGTCTCCCCTAGAACAGTGTTGCCTATAGAACTTTCTGCAGTGATGGAAATGTTCTGTATCTGCAGTAGCCCGGGACACTAGCTAACTGGCCACATGTGGCTAGGCTAGAGCATGGGAAATGTCCCCGGTGTGACTGAGGAGCTGAATGCTTAATTGTATGTAAATTTCATAACAAAAAGTTGCACAGGGCTAGCAGCTACAAAACTAGAACGTCAGTGGAAATCAAAGCACAGGCTCACCCTTCTGACCTTTGTAATCCAGAGTGGTCCGCTGGCTTATAAGTGAGACAGTAGGAAACAGAGTGAAGCCTTGGCGTTCATTCTCCCTCCTCCCTCCCCTCTGTCTTAGTATATGAATGGTGGGACCCTGGAACAGCTGCTGAGCTCCCCTGAGCCCCTGTCCTGGCCAGTCAGGCTCCACCTAGCCCTGGATATTGCCCGAGGGCTGCGGTACCTTCATGCCAAGGGTGTATTCCACCGAGACCTCACATCTAAGGTAGGCTGGAGGTGGATAGGGCCATGAAGGAATTTGAGGTTATTTGGTTATGATTAGTCTATGGATGTTAGGATGTAGATAACAGATATATGATGATATTGGAGTGACAAAGTATTGGGGAATATTGAGGGGGGGAGGCTGTGGTGAGGGAACTGTTCTGAAGGACTGAGTACCACTGGCGTGTTGAATGATGTTGCAGTAGTGGGACGCATTGAAGAATTGGGAGGGAAGGTTGGAGCTACACATGAGTGGCAGGGCTTCGGGTATATATTGGGAGACCGGGTGATCATAGGATGCCTATGTGTGCATGTGTGTGTGTGCCAGAACTGTCTGGTCCGGCGGGAAGACCAAGGCTTCACAGCTGTTGTGGGTGACTTTGGGCTGGCTGAAAAGATTCCTGTGTATAGGTGAGGTGAATGCCCTCGTTACCCCCATCACCCCCCCCCCCCAAAGGCAGTCCATCTAAGTGAAGCCCTCAGTGATGTTCCCCTTGGAGTAGGGTGGGGGCTCTTGCCTGGGAAGGACACTTAGATGTTTCTGACCACTTGCCCCTGCAGGGAAGGAGCAAGGAAGGAGCCATTGGCTGTGGTGGGTTCCCCATATTGGATGGCTCCAGAGGTATTGCGGGGTGAGCTGTACGATGAGAAGGTAAGACACCAACCCTTCAGAGCCCGAAGTCCCCCTCCCCAGACCTTTGAAATATCCCAGCAACCTCTCTAACCAGATATTCAGGAACCCCACCGTTCCTCCGTGCCCGAATCCCCATTCCAGCGCGTGAAAACTGTCTGCTCCTCCTCTTGACATTTTCTGCTGCCCCTAGGCTGATGTGTTTGCCTTTGGGATCGTTCTCTGTGAGCTCATCGCCCGAGTACCTGCAGACCCTGACTACCTACCCCGTACTGAGGTGAATGTCTTGGTGTGAAACGGGAACCTCCAGAATAAGTAGCTCATAACTGAAGCGGGCACCTTGGAGGCTGAGGGCCTCATAGGAATGCAGAAGAAGCCAAGGAAGGCTTATTTGGCCCCTTCTCTCTCCTCACAGGACTTTGGCCTAGATGTGCCTGCTTTCCGAACCCTGGTAGGAGATGATTGTCCACTGCCTTTCCTGCTCTTGGCCATCCACTGCTGCAGCGTAAGAGCCCCACTCTCCTCCTGGCAGACAACCCCCACCCATGCCATGGCTGCCCGTGGGCCCCAGGTGACGGGAATAAAACTCAGGTACCCTCTTTAAGAGCACCGAATAAAGAAGCTACCCTGTCTCTACCTGTCAGATGGAGCCCAGCACTCGTGCCCCCTTCGCTGAGATCACCCAGCACCTGGAATGGATCCTGGAGCAGCTGCCTGAGCCAGCACCCCCTGCCAGGACTCCCCTGATACACAATCAGGGTAAGTGAGCATGACATGGGCCCAATGGAGAAGCCCTGGTCCTTTCTCCTTAGAACTCAGAGTTATCTGGAGGAAGCCAAGTGGGTTTATTAGGTGAGAAGGCTGGGAGTTGGCGTAGGGTGGGGTGGGAAGACATCTGAAAGCAGATACTTTTCTACTGGTAGAGTCTGAGGAGCGGAGGAAGGAAAGAAGAGGTGAAAGGTGGTTGGAGGTGACATTTCCCCACTTTCTGTAGCATCCTGTGGGATCCTTTTTCTAAGCTCTAGTTTAACCAGCTTCTGGAGGATAGCAAGGCCCTCCAGAGCTCTGCTCAAATGCTGAGAACAGTGATCACAGGCTTCTCTCTACAGGATCTGTTCCAAGAGGAGGTCTCTCCGCCACGCTTCCGAGGCCTGACCCCCGGCTCTCCCGAAGCCGGTCAGACCTCTTCCTGCCCCCGTCACCAGAATCACCCCCGAACTGGGGGGACAATCTGACTCGAGTCAACCCCTTCTCACTACGGGAAGACCTCAGGGGTGGCAAGATCAAGCTTCTGGACACACCCTGCAGGCCAGTCACCCCCTTGCCCCTGGTCCCGCCGTCACCACTGCCCTCCACTCAGCTGCCGTTGCTGAGCACACCAGAGAACCTGATCCAGCCTGGGACGCCTCTCCGACGCTGCCGCTCACTACCCTCCTCCCCTGAGCTCCCCCGACGTATGGAGACTGCACTGCCAGGTCCCGGCCCACCCCCCATGGGTCCCTCAGCTGAAGAAAAGATGGAGTGTGAAGGCAGTAGCCCAGAGCCAGAACCCCCAGGACCTGCTCCCCAGCTTCCCCTCGCTGTGGCTACCGACAACTTCATCAGCACTTGTACTTCAGCCTCCCAACCCTGGTCCCCTAGATCAGGTCCTCCCCTCAACAACAACCCCCCAGCTGTGGTGGTGAACTCCCCACAAGGCTGGGCTGGGGAGTCCTGGAACCGGGCCCAGCATAGCCTGCCCCGAGCGGCAGCCCTGGAGCGGACAGAACCCTCGCCACCCCCGGCCACTTCCCGGGAGCCTGAGGATGGGCTGCCCTGTCCTGGCTGCTGCCTCGGCCCCTTCAGCTTTGGCTTCCTGTCCATGTGCCCCCGTCCCACTCCAGCTGTTGCCCGCTACCGCAACCTGAACTGTGAGGCAGGCAGTCTTCTCTGCCACCGAGGGCACCATGCCAAGCCACCCACACCCAGCCTGCAGCTGCCTGGGGCACGCTCTTAGCAGTGGGGCCTGTGATCTCAGGCCTCCAACTTTAGTCTGAGGACACCCTGTGAGGACAGAGTGCACTTACTGGACAGTGTCAGCCCCACATGGCTGACCGGCTCTTCGCCCTATAGGGAGCCTCAGCATGGACTCGATGGACAGAGCACTTTGTATCCAACCCTGGGCCTGCTCTCCCCGGGGATCACTGAACCACACAGCATTGCTGACGCACAAGACTAACACGTGCAGATTATTTAAAAATATGTCAATAAAACTGCCTGGCTGGCTCCGGGCCGCCCCATCCACTCTGCCCCTGCGCCCTCCTCCCCCCACCATTTCCAGTATGGGAGGTCCTTGAGGAAGGCCAAAGTCCTTTCTAGAGGACTTTACTTTATTCTTCGCAGGAACAGTTCAGTTTCAGGGACAATTTCAAGCAGATGATAGGCTGGCTAGAAGTATCAACACGGTTCAGCCTTTGGCTAGCTATGCCTAGAGTGAAGGAATGCCCTGGTATGATGACCTTAGGACCTTCAGTCACAGGTTAAGGATGATCGTCACAAGTTCTTGTTGGTTGGAGTCTGGAAGAGTAAAACATCAGTGAGCTAGACATGATTAGCACTAAATCCTCATCCAGCTTACTCTTATCTTCTCCCCCTGGAAAGCCGTGTCATAAGCCTTCCTTCCTTTCTAGGTCTTACCTGCTCTTACTGAAGCAGGACAAATCTATGGATTTGTGGATGTGATTATCAAAACCTACGAACAAGTTTCCCCTCCCTCCTTGGACACAACCCCTCAGTCCTAACCCTCTCACTTACCCAACTCAATTCAAAGATCAGTCTCATCTGGAGACCTGAAAGTTTCCCGCTCACAGATGAAGAAGAGAGTCTCTGTACACTTCTCTTCCGCTATTCGTGGCCATGACCACATTTGTACCTTGGAACATTTTGGGTTTTTATGATGAGTCCTAAAGAAAAGAGTAGAGCTAGGATATAGTCTGGACTATTCCTAGTCTATCCTCCTCCCCCTGCTGCCATTAAACCTAGATCACCCTGCCTGCCTAAGGCTACTTCTGGCCATTGTTCAAGAGCTGATGGCTAAACTACAGCTAGAAGCTTTAGAACCAGGGGAGGGAAGTCACCGAAAGTCCTAATGATGCAAACTCCAAATACGGAAGTGTGAGGAGGTGACTACTCTGTTGTGGAGTCCATAGGGCTAAGTCCTCAGTCTGTCTGTGCTGTCTTGCTCGCTTTCCTGGGACAGCTGTTACCCTAATTGGCCTGTCTGAAAGACAGCCTCAGTTTGATAGCCTTGTTAAGAGAGGAATGGAAGTTCAAAGGCTGTTTTTCCTCATTGGCTATAAAGCCTTAGCTAAATTCTCATCCCCTTCTGAATGATGATATAGATCTCAACAGTACATGCCAGGGACCTCTAGGTACTAGGGATGGGAGGGAGTAAGACTACCCTAAAGAGTTATTAACCAAATAGAGGGAATAAACGAATAGTTACAACATTGACTTGCAGAAGAGATTTGGGAGCAGGACTTGATGAAATTTTATTACTGTCTTCTGAGAAGATTAATGGAGTTGAAAATATCCGGGTATCCTCTCAGACTTACCAAGAGTGTTGTGAATTACTAATCCACTGCGCCTTAGATTTGGCCCAATATGAATACATATTCATATTTAACAAAAATTCACGCATGCTGAAGGTCGTATCCTGTGGAGAGAATCAGATCTGAGGTATGTGGGAAGAAATGAAAAATTAATGAAATGTGCACTCGAGGAGAAGGCCCGTGAACTCTGGCAAGAGTGCTTATCTTTGGTACACAGAGATCATTAGTAATTTGTCTCTGAATTGTTCAAGTGCCACTCTGCAGATGCAGGATTCACCTCCCAGCTAGGTAGGAATTTCTTCCATCCTTTGGATGAGGTTATTCTGTGGACTCTTCAGGTCCCAAGAAATAAGTCCCTGCCATCCAGTCTGGCCCCTCTCTGCCTCTCTGAGAGGCCTCAAGAATCAATGAGCTATTAAGCAGCTCGGGGGCTGGCCAGAAACCTGAGACATACATTAAAGATGGTTGAGAAGAGTCAGCTCTGATACAAACTGAGCAGGAGAAGACACTTGGAGGGCTAAGAAGATTTGGAAGCTGTTTCCTTTGACAAATATTGTGACTACCAGTACCTGCCATGGAAAAGGAACCTGAGCCATGGTGTTCATGCCAGCAGTGCACTGCCATTCCCAACTTGACATACATACCTCCTCACCAAACAGTACCCACTTCAGCTTGGGGATAAGGTGATGCTTACTTCATGGAATGTGGCCAGCTTGGAGGACAAAGATGTGCAATACTTTTGAGACTCATCCCAAGTTTTCTGAAAATGTGAAAAGTAAAAGCAGCTTTTCTGGTGTTGCATCCATCCCACTGGACAGCAAGAATCTAGAAGGCAGAGAGTATGATGGCAGCTTCACTTGGGATGAACGTGACTGTTCAGCCACTTGCTTGCTAACAATACGTCTACTCCCAGCACCTTCATGGATCTCTGGTCCTTAATCTTTGCAGTTTTTCTTTGTCCTCTCTTGGAAATACCCTACCTATGTATATTTGGAAACATGCAACAGCATTTCTTCTTAACAATCTGGCAGGTTTGTCATCTTTTTTATTTCTTTTCCAGTGCCGGGAATTGAGTCCATGGCCTCAGATGTACAAGGCAAATGTTCTTCCACTGAGCTATATTCTCAAACATTGTTTTTTGAGCTGGGGTGCAGCTACATAGCTCAGAAACTTGCTATGTGGCTTAGTCTGGCCTCCACTCCTCCAGCTGGGTGCTGGGATTCTAGACCTGTACCACCACATCCAAAATGGAAGATTTATTATTGTAGCCATGGAGTTACTGTCAGCAGAGACATTTCGGCTAACTTCACCTAGATCCCTATGGGTCTCTCATTCATTCATCTCATTTGCTCCCTAAAGCATTTCCCTACCACCCACTCAAAACCTGGCCACATTCCTCTCGCCACTGGCTCCCTCCTGCTCCTCTCCACTCTTCCTTCACCAGACAGCCTTGGTTCCTGCTTTGCTGAAATTGTGAGCAATCTTCACCTAAAAATTTCTATGTCTTCTCCGTTCTTCTTTTCCTAATTTCCCCTAGGAAATAAACATCCTTCTTTAACATTCCACACTTCATCTTGTGTGCCTGATCCCAAAACATCACTTTCATCCATCAATCCTATCTCTGTCACTCAAACAGCAGCTTCTTGCCTCTGTCAACCTTTTGCTATGTCTCCATCCTACTGCCCCGGGGGGCAACTTCAAGGAATAAAAATAAATTGGTATGGTAGGGGCCTCAGAAGCTCTATTAAGGATTTTATTTTTGTGCCAGTCCTGGGGCTTGAATTCAGGGTGTAGGTGCTATCTCACCTTCTTTGCTCAAGGCTAACTACTACTAGAGCCACAGTTCTACTTCCAACTTTTTAGCAGTTCTTTGGAAATAAGAGTCTCATGAACTTTCCAGTCCAGGCTGGCTTTGAAGCTCCATCCTGAGTGGCTAGGCCTGGCTTTATTTTTATATTATGAGGAAGAGAAAATCAATATAGGGTTTTACAAAAGGGGATTTTTCTCACTAGCTATGTCTCCAGGTGTCTGAGCACATGCTACATTAACCTGTTTATATAATTAACTAGAAAGACATGACTTAGCCTGGAGTGGCATGATCAGGTTTGTGTTCTTAAAGAATTCTTCTGCCTTCAGTATGAAGAATGGACTGTGTTGGGTGGGGTGTGGGATAGTTGGGGAAAGCCCTCAGAAAGTTATTGCATTTATCCTTGCAAAGGACAAGATGGGCAAAAATGCAAATGGATATATAGCCGTGCTGATGGAAATTTGAGGGAATTGCTCTCTGACGGAGTCAGAGAAGGGCCCTTGCCGAAAGTGGAGGGGATGGTAGTACAGAAGGTGCCCATCACTGCAGAGCTTGCCAGGTGGTGCTTAGATTTTTAATGGCACCAAGCAGGCTGACTGCACTATTTGTCATATCTTGGTGCCAGTCTGGGCTAAGTGGTCAGTTGGGCTCATCCAGCATTTGATCTTTACCAGTCCAAAGCACCAGTAGGACAAGAGAACAAAGGACTGGGTAATGGATCCCAGAATCCAACATGGGTAGGGAGAAGGGAAGGCAGGAAATGGCTTGCAGAATGGGAGGAACTGCAAGTCCACAGGTTGCAGGCCTCAGTGAGGTAGAAGTAGTGTGGGAAAACCGTGAAAGCTGGAAGTTCAATCAAAGCAGAAGTCTGCAACTGATCTTCAGCCTGGGATTTTGCTGTGTGGATAGGCAGCAGCACTGACATGGGATGGAGAGCTATAGAGGATCAGGTTAAGGCAAACAGCTGTGAGCATCTGCAAGGAATCTTGCTGTCTTAAGTCTGGCCAGTTGGGGAGTGGCCAGATGCCTGCTGAGCCAACTAGAGCTTAATCCCAGCCACAGTCTATGGACACTAGTGTCCCTTTTAAGATGGCAACATGCTTGGATAGAACCTGTCTGCTCTAGCACAATCTTTCCTTTTTCAGGTGTACCTTCCCTCATCTCTACCTACCAGCTAGATTTCTGTTTTCTAAATAGATACCCTAAGCCACAACCCCTGAGAACTTTACCTCTTCTCCCTACTTCCAGACTGCACTTTGGTGATTCTTAATTTTTTTGTGCTGGAGTCTCAGAAGTAGTGAGAATTTAAATTGTGCTTGTTTTTAAAAGAAAAAAGTTCAACCAACTTAACACCCAAATTCAAGGGATTTCCACATCCTGGGAACAATGATAGCCAGGTGAAACCTGAATGTGCCATGTTGCTTTGGACAATGTGACTTGGGGGGCTAGCTGCCACCCTTCTCTTCTCCCACAGGATTTGCCTTAGAGCTGGGGGAGCCCTTCTCCCTGATGCCCAAGTCTGCACAGCTCAGATCAGCCGCTACTCTGGTTCACTGTCTCTTTCTTCCACATCTCACTGACCCCTGACCCCTGACCCCTGATTCCAGCCAGTAGTGTCTCCACCCCACCCAGGCCACTTCTTCCACCTCCCCTATCCCAGAGCAGATACCTAATGTAGAGCATATGGAGAAGGACTTCAGTCTGTTCTGCATGCTGTTCAGCCTCTGGTCCAAGGCTTGTCTCTGTTCCTCTTCCCTTTTCAAGGTCTCTTTGGTCTGCTCCCGATCCAACTGACAGGCCTGTAGCTGCTGCTCAGCTACCTGGTGAACCCTCTGTTCCTCCTGTAGCATCTCCTGACTCTGAGACAGCTGTCTCCTGTACTCCTGCAGATCCTCCTCCTGTTGCCCCAGCTTGGTTATCCTTTCCCGGAGCTGTTGCCTCAGGCTGCTGTTGGTGGCTGCCAGAATCCTGGTCACCTGCTGGGACTGCTGAGACAACTGCAGATCTGTTTGTCAATAAAGACAGACAGGGGGCTGGGTGTGGTAATGAGCACCTGTAATCCCAGCACTCAGAAGACTGAGGCAGGAAGATTGTGAGTTTGAGTTCAGCCTAAGCTATATAGTGAGACCCTGTTGAGAGAGAAAACTTGAAGTGTATCTCCTGCCCTGTTGCCTAACATCAGCCTTTTTCTGCTTCCTGCAGCTTTTGCAAAGCAGGCTAAAATCTATGATCTGACTGCATACAGCTTAAGAAATCCTGCATTAGTAAGGACAGTGTAGGAAGACAGCGATGCACTCTCAGACAGACCAGGCTTAAACCAAACCAAAAATAAGGAGTGGGGTTGGAGGGGTGGGCAGTATCTGTGAGCCCTGATGAGAAAGGGCAGTTTGGAGGAAAAGGAGAGAAACATTTGGGGTGAGAGGGTAATGGGGGGCCGCCATACTCACAGCTCACTCCCAGGCAGATGGTGGCCACCCCTAACAGCAGGCAGATGAGGAGCAGGCCGAGCAGGAGGTACTGCAAGCAGGAGGTGGAGGTGGGGCCTTAGGAGATAGGGGTTGGAGACAGTCAGTCCCAGGAATGGATTTAGGGACTCAAGTCAGGAAGCTCCTGGTTAAGGTTAGATAGCTAGGGACAGAACAGTGGGGGCTGGGGGCCGTGGGATGTTTTGTATGTAGGGGAGCTAGAGTATTTCAGAATCAAGGATGGGTGTCTCATGCCTGTAACACCAGCCACTCAGAAGGCTGAGATCTAAAAATTGAGGTTCAAAGCCAGTCCAAGCAGGAAGGTCAGTGAGATTCATCTCCAATGAACCACCAAAAAATCAGTAGTAGAGCTGTGGCTCAAGTGATAAGAGTGCTAGACTTAAGCAAAAACACTCAGAGACAGTGCCCTAGGCCCTGAGTTCAAGCCCTAGGACCAGCACGCGCGCGCGTGCGCACACACACACACACACACACACACACACACACACACACACACACACACAGAATCAGGGTTGGGCATTCTACTGGTAAGATGGGCTGAGAGCATTGCCTGGTAGAGGGAAAGGGAAATTGCACCCCAGGAAAAGAAAGGGACACTTGGAAGTTGGATTGTGATCTGGACCATGGATCTATGACATGTCATTATTAGAATAATACTGGGATGAGACTGAATGGGGAAGGCAACCTAGTCCACCACCCTGACCCACATGGCCACTTGGGAAGGACAGCTGGGGGTGGGAACCAGGGGGAGGGGAAGGAGGACAGTACTCACAGGGGAGAACCTGACTAGCTGATAGCTTCATGCATCTCTTAGCTGGCTGCGCGGCCTTGACCCCTGCGGAAGGAGAGCACCCCGGGTGAAGACAGGAAGCCCCAGTAATGCCCCTTCTCCCCTTCCACACTCTGTCTATCCTAGGTTACCCTCTACCAATGTCCTGGGACACCCACATGACTCTTGAAGTTCCTCAGCTCCCCTGAGACCCTCTCAGCAAGCTCCTGAGTCTCACCCTCTCTCACAAACACACACCCCACAACACATACTCTCTGCATCCTGCCCCAGCTCCCTCTGTTCTTGTACCCTCTCCTCCGGTGCCCATAGGTGCCCCTCGCCCCACAGCTCTCCTCCCTCTTCCATTCCCTCAGTTCTCTCCCCAGGATCCCCATTTCCTATTTGCCCATTGCCCCCAGGGCTGCCCGGAGCCCTCCTCAAGCACCTACCACCCCTCTGGGATCTGTCTCCTCCTTGCCCCTAGCGTCCTTCCTCTTCTGGTGACTCCCACTTAACCTATCCTCCTTCTTGTCTTTCCTAAGAATGCCCTCCTCCTTTCCTCAGGGTCCGCCCTCCCCAACCACTGCAGACACTCTAGCTACAGATATGTCCCGTGAGTTTTCCATACTCGCTTTGTCGGCTGGTCCAGAGGAAGCCAAGCTTGGGGCCCCCGCTGGGACGGGGGGCACTTGCACGTTCTCATAGGTGAGCTCCCCATCCTCATAGTCCTCTGGATCTGGAGAGAAGAGGGAGCAAAGCACAAGTCAAGGATCGAGTCCGAGGGTGCAGGGGATGGGTGATGAAGGGAGGAGGGATGCAGGATAGAGGAGCCCTCCCCCCATACTGCTTACCCTGTTCTAACCGGCTGGAGACACTCTTCTTCAGGGGGGCCTTCACAAACCTCAGGTCTGCATAGGTGATGGCCTCAGCCATACTTGTCTTTCAGCCTTACTTGTCCCTTCTACCACTCTAAGACTTCCTTGCCACTCTCCTCGCCAGCCCCCCTCAGGCCTGTGCTCTCTTGGTGACTGTGTGGTTTTGCACTTTGCCTTGTGACTACCAGTCACAAAAGAGGAAGAAGTGGACCAGATTCTGACAGATGGGCTCAGTGAAGCAGAGATATCCCTGTGCAGAACCTATAGGTGCAGAGGAGGGGCCCTGAGGTCCACAGCGCAGGAGCACGAGCTGGGCCTGGGTCCAGCACTGCTGTGTCATGGACACACTGTGGCCTCTACACTGCTGGGACTCCGCACAGCCCTCCTGCTTATCATCTCGACTTTCCCCTCCCCTCCTGACTACTCATGGCTGGAGCTGCTCGGGGTGTAATGGGAGTTCTCTGTGCTCACCTCAGACATCTCCCCAGTTATTGCTCCAGATTAAGGCTCCATTCTCCTCCTTCACATGTCATCATTTGGAATTTCCAGTAGGCACATGGGCTCCCCAAAAGGGATCCCTAATTTTGTAGCTCATATCCTCTATCATCCCCATGATCCTGAGGTTTTATTCTTAGGATGTACCCTGCTGCCCTCCCACTTAGCTCCCAGTTCTCCCGCTACAAGGAAGTCATCACTAGAAGCTCTTGCTGGGAATGTGCCAGCCTGTGCCAGCTTTTATTTTGAGGAGAATACAGAGACATGGAGCCAAACTGGTTTTGCCTCCATAAACATCCCAGACTTTTCTATTCCACTGTCTTTCCCTGCCTCCTCACCCCCCATCTATCAGGTCACACCTGTGACCAATCAGCCCCTTGCCCCTACCATCCTGCCTCTGCCAGCCTCGTGACACCCTGTGTCTCCACACCTGAGCTGACTCCAGCAAACAGATCCCATGAGGCAGGCAGACTCCAGGACCAGCCTGGCTGAGGGGGAGGGGCACGTGGTTAGGCACTTCTGGGAAGCTTGGCAGCCCTGAACCTCATGTTTCTTGTGGGGAGCCAGGGAGCTGATGTGGGCTGAGGTGCCAGGATTCTAGAAAGGCTATGACTTCCTCCTAGACAGAGCAGTTTCCTCTTGATTTCTTTTTTTTTTTTTTTTTTGGGGGGGGGGGTCCGGTTGTGGGGCCTGAACTCTGGGCCTGGGCGCTGTCTCTCAGCTCTTCAGCTCAAGGCTAGTGCTCTACCACTTGAGCCACAGCGCCACTTCCAGCTTTTTTTTTTCTTTTTGCTTATGTGGTGCTGAGGAGTCGAACCCAGGGCCTCAGGCATGCAAGGCAAGCGCTCTACCACTGAGCCACCTTCCCAGCCCCTTTCCTCTTGATTTCTTAGCAAGGTTTATCCTTTAAAAGGGACTGCAGGATGGAGGAATAGCTCAGTGGGAGAGTATGAATGTGATGCAATGGATTCAATCTCCAATACTGATATTCACAGCCCAAGATTGTTCCTTTATACCCAGGCCCAAGGAAAGAGGCATTTATGGGGGAGACCCCAGGGGCTCAGGGGTCCTTATAGGTGATGAGAGCCCAGTTAATGGAAGAGAGAAAAAGACAGAGAAGGGAAGACGCCACTGGTGCTCCTAGATGTTCTTTCACTGGTAAGTGCCCCTTCCAGGGAACTCCAAAAGAGTCTGCATCTGGGAGTGGGAAAGACTTAAGGCCAGAGAAGATCTGAGGATGAGAAAAATCCACCCCTTGGGGGGCATCTCCGCCCCTCAGAAAGCCCTAGGCAGCTGTGGAGAGGGGAACGGGAAGAGCCCTCCTCACCGCACACTAACAGCTTATGTGACCGGTGATGTGTGGCAGGCCAGCACAGCTGGGCCATCCAGCCTACTCCGAAGAAAGATGCCCCAGAGGCAGAGTAGCACACCTGTCATTTGAGGAGTGTCTCTGAGAAGAGGCAAGTATCTACCTGCTGGTGCAAGTGCTCACATGTACACACGCATCCCCAGAGCTTTGTGTGTGCAGGCGCTGAGTGTCACAGCCTGCTTGAAGGATGAGACACAAGGACTCATCCTGTGGGCTGAGCTGTTACTTTGGGGGGGCGGGGCAGGGGGCAAACTGGGGCTTGAACTCAAGGTCTGAGCACTGTCAGATTTTTCAGACAAGGCTGGTGCGTTACCACTTGAGCTATAACTCCATGTCTGGCTTTTAGCTGGAAATAAGAGCCTCATAGAAAGCTAGGCACCAGTGTCTCTCACACCTGTAATTCTAGCTACTCAGAAGGCTCAGATATGAAGATCACAGTTTGAAGCCAGAGAAAGTCCATGTGACTCTTATCTCCAATTAACCTCCAGAAAACCGGAAGTGAAGCTGTGGCTCTAGCCTTGAGCAGAAAAGCTCAGGGACCGAGGCTCTGAGGTCAAGCCCCATGACCAACAAAAAAAGAAGTCTCATAGACTTCTTCTCAGGCTAGTTTCAAACCCAGAGTCCTCAGCTCTCAGACTCCTGAGTAGCCAGCATCACAGGCATGAGTCACAACATCCAGCTTGAGAGCGGTTACCTTTGTCACAGCAGGAATGAGATCATTTTAACAAGTTGTCATAGGTCATGGCAACAGATTTTACAACTATTTCCTTTCTGAAGTTCATTGTTTCCTAAGGAGTCCCTGCAGCTGTTGACAGTCCCCGCTTGATTAAAGTTTCCAACAGCTGCTCCCCTCCCTGGGGCACCCTGACAGGACCTCCCTCAGATACAAATAGTGGTGGGTGCAGGTTACTCCCTGGAGGCCTAAGGGGCTAGTAAGAATGAATGCCCAGAGCAGCTGGCAGCCGGGATGGGTGGGGCACTGTGTCTGTGGTGTGGAGGGTGAGGTGGGCAGAGTGGAAATTCTCAAGAATTGCATAAATTGCAGAAAATGTCCCAGTTTTCAAAACCAATACGCAGGCGAACATGACCTGGATTCTCCTTAAAATGCCAAAGCCACACTTCACTGTGCAATCAAAAGCAAACTTGGCAGGAATGCAGCCAACAAGACCCTCACAGGGGCTCATAACACAGGTACCCAGATGGAAGTTGGCTTGGCTACACTGCATACCTCATTGCCTTGGCTTTTTTTTTTTTTTTTTTTTTTTTTACCAGGTGGGGTCTGTATTTCTCTCCTCTTTGGTCCTTTTGGGGATAGTGTCATACTCTCATGACATTCTGCAATTCCTTCCGTGATCCTCTTGTATGGATAAGAGTAAGAGGGGGATTTGTATTCTATTCTTACTGCCTAAATATCAGAAACACTGGGGGCTTTTAAGAGCGAAGTGTGAGTGTTGCACATTTCAGCTTTACCGGGTCCAAAAAGTCATCATCTGAGATCCAAGAGGACAAACACCAAAGCAGATTTCTTGCCCTCTCCTCATCTATTCACTGCTCCTTATACTGGATGCATTGGTTGTGGGTCTTGACTAGGGAAAGGAGTCCAACTGTGAGGGCACTCAGAGAACTGCATGAGAAGGGGCTTGTCTGGTATAGTCCAGTCAACATGGAAATCAGGGAAGTCTCCCAAGACTGAGTCAGGTTATATCTGTCTGCCATCACTGTAACCCACTGGCCTCTGCCAGCCCTCATCTACTGGCAGGGTAACATAGAATAACAGCCTCACAAAAATGATCATATCCTAATTGCTGAAGCCCATGAATAGTTCATTTACCTGACAAAATGTCAATGTGCCTCATCGAAGGCTTTCTGTTTTTTATTTTTGTTATAAAGGTGATGTACAGAGGAGTTACAGTTACATGTCAGATAATGAGTACGTTTCTTTTTGGACCGTGTCGCCCCTTTTCTCACTACCAGTTTTTCCTTCCCATTCTCACCCACAAGTTGTATAGTTCATTTTCAACATAATGTCTAGTGAGTACCGCTGCTGCATTTGTTCACCCTGTGTCCTTCTATTTCTGTGCCCCCTTCCCGCTTTACTGAAGATTTTTTAGAGAGGAGTTCATCCTGTTTCTCTTAGTTTAATCACATGGGTACTTGAAAGAGAGGACTCTTCCTAGCCATGGGAAAAGATTTCAGGAGGAGGGAAGTGCTTCCTGAAGGGTCAGAGAGGTGCGTTGTGAGGATTCAACCCTCATTTGCTGGCTTTGAAGGGGAGAAGGGGATTCAGGGATCCAGGCAGCCTCTGGAAAGTAGAAACTCAAGGAAACAGATTTTCCTTTCCACCTTTTTTTTTTTTTTTTTTTTTTTTTTTTGCCAGAACTAGCGCTTGAGATCAGGGTCTGAAGCTTACGTGTTCTGCTTGCTCACAGCTAGCATTTGATCACTTCAGCCATGCCCCAGCATAGCTTTCTTTTAATAGTTAATTGGAGATGGAGCCTTGGTTTTCTTCCCAGCCTGGCTTCCAATAAAGATCCTCTGACTTCAGCTTCTTGAGTAGCTAGGATTATGGGTATGTGCCACCAGTGCCCTGCTTTAAAACTTGAAGTAAGAAATTTGTATTGCTTAAGCCACCATTGCAGTAATTTGTTAAAGCAACAAGAGGTGAATTCCTTGAATTGTGCAGAAAAGCAAGATGGAATCAAAAGAGCATGATTCTGCAGATCAGAAGGCCAGCTCTCTCATATAGTATGTGACTGTGGGCAGATCATAATTTCCCATATGTAAAATGCAAGCCAGGCTAGGCCTCCATCAGTGATTGTTGAAGTGAAGAGGCAAAAATGTAACAAAGGGATCATGATGAATCTGTCACAATAGCTTCAGAGTCAGCAGGGAGAAAGAACTATGGCCCATCTGATAGTACGATTAAAGGGACTTGTGGCTCTTTGATCCCTGAAATCAAAGAATGCTGATAGGTCTCCGGTGAATACCCCAGAGCACTCATTGGTCCTGCCTTGCATAGTGACAGAGGACAGCTTCACTTGTGCTAAAGAGAAAGGCAAACCCAAGATTCAAACATTTCAGCAGCAAAATGATGGCTCCAAACCACACTATGAAGCATTCCAAGAACAAAGTCTAGCATTTATGGAAAAACAAAATTGGAACTCAAAAGAAAAACAGAATTTCATAAGCATAGGACAGAAGGAGTTTGGGTTTAATGATAGTCTATGTACAACAGTTCAAAAGGCAGCCAGGTGCTGATAGGTCATGTCTATAATCCTAGATATCTAAAAGGCTGAGATCTGAGGATCACAGTTGGAAGCTAGCCAGGGCAATCCATAAGAGTATGAGCTC